TGATTCATAAGTTGAAAAAAACCCAACATCATATAGAAAATATCTCTAAAATCATAATATAAGAGTAACAATAATATAGAATAATACACTCACAAGAACTCCCACTCTCACCAAAGTTCAAAATAAAATTTAAGATTTACTTGTAAAGAAAGCATCCAAGATCAATGGCATTCTAATAGACTTTTTAAGGAATTATTTGATGACATCAAGAGTGAAATCTTAGTTCTTGTTGTAGAAATCTTCAAAGATATAATATTAAGCCAATTCTTCAATATTAGTAAAATCAACTTATTATCTAAGGTTGGTGATCTTATCCAAATCACTAACTTCAAATTGATATTATTCATAGGATTAATATATAAGATTATTGCAAAAATCCTTACAAATTGGATGTTAGAATTCTTACCATTGTAGATTATTCCTTCACAAACTGACTTTGTAAAAAGCTGATGTATATTTGATAATATATACACAGCCTTTGAAACAATAGAGTAGGCAGCATCAAACAACTAGAACTCATCTGCCTTATCTTCAACTTTGAAAAGGCATAAAATAGAATATTTTAGTTTATGCTCATTGATACAATGCAAGTAATAAAAAAATTTTAAAAAAAAGAAAAAGATCCAAATGATTATAATATTATGCCATGAAGTTTATTCAATGGTCACACTAAATAGCTTAGAAGGAAAATCATTCAAGCTTCAAAGGTTGATAAGGCAAAGCTATTTCTTGGCACCTTATCTATACTTCCTAATAAGAAAAGTCTTATATTCCTTGCTAGAAGATTCAACAAAGGAAATTAGAGGCTTTAGACTATTTGGTAGGTATATATTAATTAATATACTTTTTGTAAATTATTTTATATTATATTTAATAAAAGAAGAAAAAAAAACTAGATGCAGTAATATAGATATTAAAAAATTTTAGTACAAGATTAGAAACCAAATTAAATTGAGAAAAATTAGTCAACATATGGATAGCAAGGTCAAACAAAGAATGGCAGTGGAAAAATGCCCCGAGACTAAAATGACTAGAAGAAGGGACAATAACAATATACCTTAGATTTTTTTTAGAATTTAGAATACTACCAAAGAAAGTAAGAGCCAAGGTACTCCAATTTATGACAAAAGCTTAATAAATTAAAGTCCTAACAACCTCTCATTTGCTAGTTGTATACTCACACTAAATTAAATCTCACTAGCTATAATTTAGTACCTATGCTCTTACTCAAATATCACCATGTCAATATTCAAACAAATTTGTGTATTTATAAGAAGTTATGTTTGAGATAAGGCAATGGATGAAACCACATGTGCCAAGTTTGTATGGCACATGATGATTCAATTGATTGCAATTTGGAGACTTAAGATATTTGATTTCTAACTCCAAACCAAAGCACTCATGACAATGCAATTGGTGAAAAGCTTGAAACTAGGTTTTAAACCTTAAAAAATATTTATATGATATAAAGTAGACTACTCAAAGATAACTAAGTCAAAATAATGGCCTATGAGCCTATATTGGATTATACATACAGAAAAGGCTCTTCCAACATCAATCCCAATTTGAAAAGTAGTGATTCAATCTTGAAAAAAACTTAGATAAGATCCAAATAGATCCATTAAACAACTCAAGCTAAGAAACTTTGTCAACTTTTATTTAGCAATTTCTTAATCTACAAATGAGATGGAGAATAGTTAGAATCTTAGTTTAATTCAACTTTTGTAACATGGGCATTAAATAGAGTATTTGCAATCAAGGATGTACAACAAAAAGACATACAAGACCAGAGGTCCATAGAAGAGCTTATAGCTAAACTAAGTCAAAATCAATATAAGCACAATATCCAATTATTTGAGCTAGCTTAACTAAATTTGACCTTATCAATAATCAACAACTATAATCCAAAGACTAAGTAACTATACACGTATTTGATCCAATTATCTAAATTTACCATCTCAAAAAATAAAGTGGTTGATTTTGGCAAGTAGTTAACTATAGGAAAGAAAAATCATGAAAACTTAATATTAACTATCACAAATTAATTCAACTTCTAATTAGTTCACTAAATAAGTCATAATCATTCAAACAAGTAGATTAGAGGGCATAGTGGAAGGCTACAATTCAATAGACTCACTACAAGAAGAATCTAAGATTTGGCTATTTGACACAATTACAATAGTACACCTTGCATGGGACCTAAAAGATTGAGAATAAAAAAAGATATGTACCATTAAGAAAATATACTTTTCTAGATGTACTACCTAATATGAATATTAAATAGGCTTGAGAAAAAAATTTAACATGATGTTAGGATTCACACAACTCTATTTTATAGATATCAAAATCAATAGATCAAATAATTAATCCAAAGAATGTGACATCCATGGCTATCAAGAAAAATATCTGCAATGATATAGCTAATGATGGCAAGAAGGCTATTAATAGGAGATTAGAGAAAGAAGACTAAATGGAGCAATACTTGCAAGTTTTTTTCCATTGATGGGTTGAAAACTACCATATATTCATTAGGTGCATGCACATAGGTAAAAGAAGCTTGGACTTGTCTACAAGCTCTTTGTCAATTTGTGCATCTCCCTGAAATATACGACTCATGGTAAATTGTGTTACTAAGAAATTTTAATGTAGCAAGAGCTAAAAAATTAAAGAACAATCCGAATTGGAATCATAGAACACCATGATCTCAATTAATACAATATGGGAGATATTGAGATGTTACTTATTATAGAACATCTAAATTACCAAATACTCACAAGAATTTAATCAAGAGCATTTTAACCTCAAAAAAAATTTATATAATGCATAGAAAACCACTATACATATGTGTATAGAAATTTGGAATGAAATATTTAGGCATGCTTGAAGTGCCAAATGCAGATCAAACATGATTGCCAAATTCATGAAGATTTGGATAATATAAGATATTTTTGCAATAAATGGATTAGAATCTAAGTAATACTTCACTCTATTGAATACATTTCTCCCACTACATCTAGCAATTTACAATCCACCAATGCCAAAGATTTATTCACTTCGATACATTATCAGATAAAAAGACAAAGTTCACTTATAAGAAAATGTGTCTAGAAACATAACGTATATGATAATTGTGCAAAATTTCATCCTGGACAAAGACATTGCCACATTATTTTAAGAAGTCTAGCTAGAATTAAGAAGTTGACAACCACTTGAAAATATATCTTAGTAATTCAATCCAAAAGTACTTTACTACAAAATGAAATAGGATAAGAAGAGGAAACTACACCATAACAATTAATGGCTCCAAGAATTAAAATTGTTCACAAAGACAATAAAGGAGCAAACTATCAAAGGCCAATCTTTGATAGTAGAATGGGATTAATACAATTCCTTATGGACATAGAATAATAAATACATGAAATAACTCCATATATAGAATAAGAATAATATACTTTGTCACAACAATAGCAACACTACTAATTGAAGTTACTTACAAAAAAAGCAAAAAAGAGGAATATTGAAGGTCAATCCTTGATCAACCACAATGCTATATAGACAAAAGAAAATTAAAAACCAGAGTGCCATAAGCGACTACTTGCACAAGACAACTAAAGACATCCAATGTCTTAGTTGATCTAAAAATCTAATCCAAATAATACTAAATTTTTTAACATAGTAATATAAAAATAAATAAATAAATAAATAAAAATGATGATTTATTTTTTGCAGTAGAAGCCAATTGCTACAAAGAAACAAAAATAGAGAATAAGAACACAATAATAGATGAAAAAAATACAAAGGAGACAACTAACCCTACCACATACACATAGGATGACCTAAAAAGACTATTACATAGTAGACAAAACGTACAAGGTAGTATGATGGCTTTTGAAGTTGACACAGTAATAGAGCATAATTTATAAGATGAAAACTATCAAAGATAAATGGAAGACATGCTAAGCTATTATAACTTAGGATCAAAACATCCTAAATAAATGATTGATAAGAGTAAATTATTTTTTCTAAATAATATGACCAAGGGCCTTGTAAACCAATGATACAAAATATATACTTGTATTTTTTCACTTTTTTTTAATCTTAGTAGAAACTTCTTAGTTATTACATTAGTATAATATATTGAAGGTCTTCAATTTAAACTCAAGTAAAAACATGTGTGAAGGTAGCTTAGTTGGAAGAGCATTAGAGTAAAGATCTAAAAATTGCATGTTTGATTTATACTCACTGCATTCCACTCCCATTTACTTTGTTGCACCAATGTGCTTTCCTTCTTCCTTACATCATCTCGTACAATTCTTTTTCATAGTGGCTACGAAACCACCGTAGCCAAACACAACAAAAGGAAGGAGGTTCTATCCTCTTTTGCCTCTATAACCTGCTTAAAGTTCGAACGCCATAAGTCAGTTACTCCTTGTTCTAATATAGAAGGATTTCAAAACTAACTACCCCTACTAATCACCATTGTGTTTTCTTCAACAACACCTTAAAGAACCATCTACTTAGAATTCTATGTGGAAAAGCATGTTCTCTTATAAACACTCACAACCAATCTATACTTTGTGGCCCCTTCTAACCTCCCACTCACTTAATGCGCCACACCTCATTTATACCTCTATGCTGCCTTTATTCATGTTTTTAGTTTGCATATGAAATTTTTATTATTATCTTAGTAAGCACCTTTTCTATGTAGTTTCTATATATGTTTTTTTTATATTGAATGAAATTTTTTATGGCAATTTAGTGAGGAAATATTGTATAGGATGCTTCTGAGAGGATATGTGAATGAATATGAGATGACCATTCAATATTTATTTGCATGTTTTATCATCCACATATATGAGGAAGATTAAATTTATGTGTGTAGTTACAACATATTTGATGATTGTTTAGGATTTCTATATCGTATGACATTTTTTTAGGAACTTCTTAAGTTTTTTTGTATTTCAATTTATTTTATTTTTGTAATTTTTTTATAATACTCATTTTTGCCAAAGTTTTGGTATGAACTTTAATTACAACATGGATATGTAGAATTACACATTTTATCATTTAGAGCTATTCTAATATAATTTTAAGTGTTTCACTACTATAAAATTTCAATCTATATTACTTAAATGTAATACGCCATAGTTTACCCTTTTAAACTCCGAGAGCTGGAAAAACACAAAAACCAGAAAATTGAAAATGCAAACACCCAAGACCAAACATGACCACAACCGTGACTTCTCATTTCCTGTTAAGTTTTATAACTGCCATCCAACTCTCCTTTTATGCATCATTTTGAAATTTTTTACTGAGGGAGTTCAAGTGGAAAATTCTGAAGATCAGATTCTGAGTGCTGGCCTCTTGGCAGCAGAAGATTGTCACTCGAACGTGTGAAATTCAGCGCTCTATTCGTCAATCACTTCTAAAACGATGACTGTTCGACATGTCGAACCTGCATGGTTTTCTCTGGACATCACTTGATATGGATCCTTCGTTGCGTTTGTGATGGCACAATAGTTGGGTAATCTGCAAAATCTCTCTGGTACTCTTGTGATTCACAGTCATTCCAGCAAGAGTCATCATCTTCCATACAATGTTTCTCTAGTCAACCGGTTTATTGTACGCGGTGTAACAGGAATTTACAGATCATACTTGCTGCATGGGAAGTTGCACAGACATCTCAAAAACTCCTCTAGAGCTCGTGCAAGCGACATCACTGAAAGAGGTTTCTTGAGCGACTCGGTTTCAGAGCGATTTCAGCTGGATTTTACACATATGCGGAAGGAAATGGGTTTTGGGAAATTTCTGATCTACGTCAGAAGTTAATGGGTGGAGTTTCTGTCACTTGTATTCCGTGGGTGAATGTGTAAAATTTCTGGCCCGAAGAGGTGTGAGGTGGTAACTGAGCACATTTTAGTTGAAGAGCATCTTAAATCAGATTGTGATACGGTTCTAAAAGAAATTGGTTAGAGTTACCCTAAAGCCTGTGTTTTGTTGGCACACTCCGTTATTCGGTTGAAGTTTTTCTGCTTCTGCTAACCCAACTTCAAGGTCGACGCATCCAGTCACGCTCAATGATGGGCATGGTGACGATTAGGGTTGCTAATACGGGATCCCACTTGGCAAAGCTCCGCTCCATGTTGACTTTGTGAGGCAGATGCAAACACAGGTAACTGCACTTCCTCCCAAAAGCAAACAGACCAGTTCGTGTGTATCATTTTGCATCAATTTGTATGATTCAATTGTTAAAAAATCTGCTTAAAGCAAATGCTTCAGATATATCAGATAAGATCTATGCTCATTAGTGATGGATCGAACAGCCTGAGAGGTGTTTGAAGTTTTCGGATCCGCTTACTATTGTGGAGACACAAGTTTCAAGTAGGTTTTGTGCACATCCAGATCCAGTTCTTCCAAGCCATCTGTGCCAGGCAGCTTAACTTTCATCACCAATTCTTCACAGCTCAGACTTCCGCAGTCCTTTTCGCTCTACGATTCATTGTAAAAACATGGCATTGAAACTTCTTGGGAACAAAGGAGAATGTAAACAGGAAGGCATGATGGAAGACTAAAGTAACGGTGGGTTCATTAGCTTCCGAGATCTTTTTATCTCAGAGGTTGGAGGAAGCGAGAATACCATTTGCATATAAACATCGTTGCAAGACACAGCTTGCTTATACACGAATGCATACCTGCTTCACAAATTGAACAACACAAAGCATTGGTTGAAGTCACTTGTTTAGTTCACGATTGCCAGGTGATGACATCCAGCAGCGAGTTAACAGCGTCAAGTTAGACCTCACGGTGTGTGTGTGTGTGTGTGTGTGTGTGTGTAGAGGCGAGGAGCTTACTCTGGCGTGAAACGAGCCCGGCCATGTAATTCGGCATCCTTGTCAATGTCGATTTCAGGTTCCTCCTCTTTGTCTTGTTCTTTCTCTGGAAACCCAACACAATCATAGTCTCGCCTGAGAATATGAATGTGAACCTTGAACTATTCCTGTGTTTACTTGTTAATTTCCTTCAAGAATTTATGAATTTCTCAATTGTAACTCAATTTGAATGTCGAGAGTATTTCATTTTGGAAGAAACAATTCCTGTTCAGTATATGACAATGAGCAGAAGTCAACGAGGCTTTCTGATCTTGGAGAAACACGCTGTTTGTGAGGAGCTTACTTTCGTCTTCTTCTCCCCCTTTGACGTTTTTACTGTATTGTGGACCAATATGGCCTGGATTCAGAGCCTCTGGTTGTGGTTCTGAATAATCACGGATTTCATCGCCACTCGAGGAACTAAACAGAGCTTCTAGAGCTTTTATGTCGCTGAAGTTCATCATCTTCGACTTGAATCTTCTGAAGCAATCGGTTTTACAGGTGAAATTGTGCCCTCAGTTAAAATTTGGTGGACTTCTCCATCTCATTTGTCTTCAGTCCACATTTTGAGCATGTCATCGCGCCTCGAATAAAACAACAATGAAGGCCGCAGAATCTCTGGAGTGTTTCATCCTAGTGCAATATTCACGTTCACCATTCGCCTCCAACGTCGTTACTCTCCCTTCAGACCTCCGTGGATTCTAATTCCAAAACTAAGTCAACTGGAAATATCCTTACTGCGTCAATGTATAGACCTAGAAGACCGACAGCCACAAAATTCAAAGTGAATTTGGGTGCTATCCATAGTGATCGTCCCCGTTGGATACTGGATACTTTCTTATACGTTCATCAACCCCTTGGAAGTTGGCTTTTGTCAAGGAAAGCATTTATCTGGGAATGGAAACCCAAATAAAACGACATCAGCCTGCAGTTGATTACAACTAAACCACATGTTTCCCGCTTGATCATCGATTCCAATACTTGCAAAGGAATGCTTGATGGTGTCAGAGAGGGATGAAGAGATCAAGAAGATAGGGATGATAGTCACATGACCAACAAAGCAGATTTGCAGTTCCCTTGGAAGGTAAGACAAAAACTGACTTTTGATGAAACAAAGAAAGTAGTTACTGTATTTCAGATCGGTGCCGCTTCGGTATATTAGAGGATCACATTTTCATAACTAAGATTGGAGCAGGAATTTTTACGTAAAATTTACCCTCAATTACAGGTGAATATCGAGGGTATAGAATTGCAAGTCAATTGAACTACGAATACACTGTAGTTGAACCCACGATGCGAAAGAATGACCCTTGAAGTGAAACTGGGTAACAACCTTATTTCGCTAAACTCAGAAAACCTGGCGGTCTTGTATCTTAAAAATTTCTACAAGTGGGTTCACCATACTCCTACAAATTTTTACAAGTGGGTTCATACATACTACAAGTACAGTTTTTACCATTCGCTCAAGAAGGTAGAGGTGAAGATAATACAGGAGATTGTGGATGTGCTTGTATTCACAACTGTTGTTTTTCTCCTGGAAGTGTTTTTTAAACTAATCAGCACACCAAAACTGACATCGGTTTTCGTAAATTCAGAATGTCGTCCACGGGCGACCTCTGTTCAAAGGGTTTTCAGGGTCAATGCTTTGTACATCAGACTTAAATTCAAAGCGACCACAGTAACTGGATCAAAAAGGTTGTGCTCGGAACGTAACCGTATTTCCAGGGAAAGAAAACAACAAGTATAGGACTATAGCCAGTTTTTAGATAAAGGCGTGAGATTTGCTCATTAGAATATAGTGCCACACAGGACTCGTGCACTGCACCTGGCCAATATGACAGCAAGAATAATACGATCTATTGGACATCGTTCAAAACTACACAGACAGTGACGACGACCAGGTGATGGTGACAGACAGTGACGACGACCCACGATTAGAGTTATATAAAGTATCCAAAATCTGGCATCTGGGGGAATTACATGTGAAGTCTGTGCTTCTGCTCGGTGCCAGCTATTGTACTTTGCGGCAGTAGATTTTCGAAATAGTACAATACATTTACTCTTGCACTGCTTCCGTGCCATTCGTCAACTTGCAGCTATCGACAATGGGGTCCTCAGGGAAACACAGTCCCATCATCCTGGTGCTCATCGCTGCGTTGCTGCTGAGCTGCGGCAGTTTCTGGGCCAGGGCGGAGGCGGACAACGTCATCACTCAGTGGCACTTTGCCGCACAGAGAGTAATCATCAGTCACACTCCCAGCAATTTGTGTGGTTTTTGAAACATCTTCGGTTTCGGCGATGGCATTTTAAACCTCTGTCAGATGGGTTGGGACATAGTCTGTGAAATGGGTATTGTAACACGTTGCACGCAATTCGTCTGTTACAAAGTAGCGTTTGTTCGAGAAGAAGAGTGCATAGTTACTCCATTGCCACTTTGGTAGGAATGGAGTTCGCTATTGGCAACTCATCTGATCCTGCTCTTCTCACAATTCAGTCTGCGCAGTTGGTCATCGTAGCTAAATCTTGGTCGACGTCGTCTAAAGCGAGAATTGTAAATTGAAATAGTAACTGCATGTCCTAGATCCAGACCCTCATATCAAGTGGAACCTTCAATCAGTTCGATCCATACTGAGGCAGCGCATTCAATGCTGAATTGATTACTTAATTTGCGACGTTGTTGATGTTCAGGTTGTGAGGACACTCGGCGTACCTAGCCAAATTGCGTCCCGGACTTACACCCTGCTTCACGTGTCGCAATACAAAGCCCTTCAGCTCGCGTACAAGATAGGTGCCTCGCACCCAGAGGCTGCTGCTGCGTATGCAGGCCATTATGTGCTGTCGGAGTGAGCCAACTCATCGCTTCTCCTTATTGAATTCAAAATGCGCCATGGAGCACTCGGAGATTGGTCGCTTGTGTTTTAGTCGATCTCGGACAACGCCTCGTTGCGTTCTGAGGTTGTGGTTTTGTCTGGATTGGTGATTGGTTTCGCGCAGAATTTTTCCGACGCAACAGTCCACAAGCTTCGATGGCCTCATTGACAAGCAGATCACTCCACTGGAATTGACAGAAGAAGAGGATGCGGCTATTCGCAAGATTGGCCTCCAATTTGCCAAATCTCTCCTGAAAAAAAGGTAGTGATCCCTATCTCCTGAGGCTTACATTGATTTCATTATCCTGAAGATTGAGAGCTTCAACGTGTTCCAATGGAAACACTCGTGTGCTAACATTTCCACCGCCGCATTTGAGAATGATTGTTCAGGACACATGACGGTAGTCAGCAGTGGATTAAGTTCGTTCCGTCACCTGCCGGAGGTCCCACTGGAAAGTACCAATTCACCTCAAATCAAACGTTCGTGCTGTACCCTCAACTGGGCAAGACTCGCCCCTTCGTCATCAAATCCGTTGCCAAGTTCAACACAAATGGTGGCCCATATGCAATCCCCAGCTCCAAGTACAATACTGACTACGAGGAGATCGCAACCGTTGGCAACGTGAACTCGTCGTCATTCACAGATTTTTTCAAGGAGACGGCAAAGTTTTGGGAGGCCGGCGCAAGTAAGAGTTACAACCCCCTCCCACTTCAATTTTCGCTGTCTGACAGAGACCAATCTTAATTGCGATGAGTTCTTTTGAATACTTCCAAAGTTGGGTGTGCTTCTGCTCACTATTTCCGCCATAATATGCACAGATACATCGACCGTAAACGGCCAGTTGTTCAACGCGACATTGGCCGTTGTCAAGGACATCTCCGTCAAGGATCTCGCCAAGCTATTTGCAAAGATTTCTGTGGCGCAGTACGACTCTTCAATTGCTGGCTGGCAACAAAAGTTCAAGTATCTGCACTGGAGGCCTATCACAGCCCTACGGTGTGACATTCAGATACCTCCTCGATACTACTCCACTTTTTGTTGTTGTCTTGAGTGGTCAATCACTTCAATAATCAAACAGTGGGTCAGAGATTCATCCTCAAAAGGTTTGTGGAACAAGGATATCGGAACTGAAACCAGTGAAAGCATTGCTACTGTACGCGCATGAATGTTCTGTTGATGACATCTTTGCATCCACTGAGCTTGCAGTCAAGGAGACTCCAGCCACCAGCCGATTGTTTTCACTCCTTTCCTTCGAACTCCCCCACACCCGGAGTATCCGAGTACACACTCGACTGCTGCAGGATCCTGGGCAAAAGTGCTCGCCAGATACTTGAGCATCGACATCTCTCAACACATTTCCTCCTATTCTGTCGCTACTGAGGGGTATCCGCTGCCATTACGCACTTACAATACGCTTGAAGCAGCTGCGGTGGAAGTTGGAGTGAGCAGGTCTGTTGCATGCGTTTGATCAAAACATATTTACTTGAACTCTTTTGGTTAACTTGTTTGAATTGACTGAAATCAGCATCGTGAATTAAAAACTTTTGGAGCATTGAAACTTTATGCGTGTTCCCGAGTACTTGCAGAATCTATGGAGGAGTCCATTTTCGAAAAGCTATCGAAGGCGGCACAAAGCTGGGAGTCGATGTAAGCATTCTCTGGGCTCTATGTGTACTCTCATCTCCTAATCTTTATGTCGATCATCGTGTGCTTAATGTCAACTCTTAACCATGGTTCACTCCATCACTGCAACCGCTCTAAACCCTCTGGGTGCTTTGCAGGTTGGCGACTACGTGTGGGATCACTTCGAGAAAGAATTTGGGGATTTGTAATCGCCAAGCTCTATGAATGACGTTGCCTAGTGGCGGACCCCCTAAAAGAGTACTCAGTGGCCGCTTCGCTGTGCTACTATCTTCAAGCCGTGTCATTGTTGTTTCCAACAATATTACGAATTTGAATTGCTGCAACGTCTGGGTGTCGTTGATGTTACCCAACTTCTCACTGCAAGTACCTGATCGGCACCTCACTACCAGAACATGAGGTTTGCAGTTTGCAAAGCTGGTGTCACCTGGTCTTCACAAGTGCAGATGAATTCGTGTTCTACGTCGACACAAGCAAGCAATAAAAAGCGTACAAAATGTGATGGCTCCAGTATGAATGCTGTATGGAAATATATGGAAAACATTTGCTCTTGTAATTCAACTGCGCTTTATCGGGTATTTACTTGGGTCATTTTTCAGTGTCAGTTTCTTCTCCATGTTTGCTATTGAAGTTGCATGTGGATGTGAATGTAAATTGAAAGGTGGATGTAAATGAGGATTATACTTCATAGACTCAAAGAATGCGTTTACTTCTAACGTTTACCCAGGTATAACAACTTCGAAGCTTGTGTAAGACTTCATATTTTAGAACAAACTGTTTTGAAACAGTAAAATGTAAAATGTTAGTGCTCATGAATAAATATCCTGTCGACCGCTGTTTCTGTAATTTCTTTATCACTCTTGGTGCCAGATTTTTAACATGAATTACTGTGGGATCAGTGTTAGTGTCTATTCCTGAAAGGAGACCAATATCAGATACGGACGAAGGAAAAAGAGAAAGAAAATAAAAAGCTATATTATTCAATATGGAAAAAAACAACTTGAATGGATCTGCTTGTTTGGATGCTGATACCCTACTCCGGTACAATAGGGAAAAATAATTTTTAGAATGTATTACCATTAAATATAAAAACCAAACATGAATCATTTTATATTTTATTCAGTTTGACCAAGTCTCATAACAGAAACACTTCCAAAATATATGCTTTCAAATGAAGATTGTATTCATGAATCTGATACAAGGTCTTACAGTTTCAGTTTCTGTTTTTCCTAGGAGACAAAATATCTGTAGGAAAATATCCTTGGCACTGTGCGCACATGCAATGACGAATAGTAGTTTATCAATGTCCACATTTTTAACCTTTTGAAATCTTCATGTACTGACTCAATTGCAATGATCCTGTCAAAAACATTATTTGCAAAATCTTGATTTGTGAATAGATCCGACTTTTTAGTCATGTAAAAGAAAATAAAACAATTCATACTTTGATTTTCGATTATTTCTAATAAAATAAAATAAGTCAAGGATTGTAACATGATGCCCTAAATCATCTAAAAGTTATCATTTGAATAGTGTTTCACACACACATACACATATACATATTCATCGAGATTAAAGATATCTTTTGTTTAAGTTGCCAATTTTTACCTGTTTAGTAAATTTTGTTAGTTTTTGCGACTTCGACTTAGAAGATCGTGCGGCTGTTTGTTCAAAGATCATCACTTTACCAGTTATCACAAAGGATGTAAAAACCACCCTCGACGACCAGTAAATCAAGCTTTCATACAAAGTCGCGCCAATAAAATAAATAATTAAATAACAAAAAAGAATCACTATTCAAATGATAAATTTCATATAGGATGCTTCGAATTTCAGAATAAGATGCTTACCTGAAATTCGAATCATCTTACGATTCTCAAACCGACCTTGTCCAGCACTTTCAATGATTGTTTTTAGTATTTTTACAACCTTTCTATGTACTTCAAAAAACATGCTTCTAAACTGTGGTGGATCCATGCATTCTGGGCTATGAACTTGAGCAATTCTCCTTCTGCCACTTGAAAACGAGGAAACATTTCCCACTCACTTTCTGACCCCACTTCACAAGCCTCGTCTGATTTCGTTGTAACCAACAGTGACAGTCTGAGGAAAATTAAGTACTGAATTTAACAGTTACAAATTGGGAAAAACCATGTGAGGGTGTTTTTAATAAGAGGAGATGTGAACACTCTCCTCGTGAGCACAGACTGTCACGTAACACATGCAAAGAGTCTACAAGTAACACATTGTTTTGAAGTGGTTTAAGAAGTTGCGGCAGATCGCTGAGCATGCATTTCAGCCTTCACTTGTTCCGCCAACATATCGTAGGCATCGCCCCATGCAGATTTCAGCTCAGGGGACCAAAGATCTGGCACTCCCATCTCAATTGCATATAGGATGGCCTCTTTCACTATCTGCGAGTGCGTCAAAAAACTAATCTGTGAGAATTTCTTGTTTGCATCATCAATTTATGTACACAACCTGTGTGAGTTAGCACAGTAATACATCTCGAAACACACGCCAAATATCGCATCGAGCAGCAAGCATGAAAGATGAATACGAAACGAAATAATATGCCAGAGATTGATCAAAATGTTGTCAAAAACCTCGAATTGATCATCTGTGACTCCAGCGTTGACGTGCGTGGCAGCCAACTTCTGCAACTTCGACTCCAACACCTGATAAGCACCTTTTTCTCCCAGCTGAACAGCTGCATCCCCAGTCTGCGCATGAAACTTTCTGATCAGACTAAGTTGCACCAATTCACAATTCATGCAGCAACTGCCAGTGTCATGATGCATCAGTTCAACATTTCTACAAAGAGATCTTATTGCTTTAGTCGAAACAGCAAAGCTTGTGCAATTGATGGCTCACCATCATGAAGACGTAGCGAGCGTGGTTCTTCACTTTGGGATTCTCCTCAAACGGGATTGTTGAGTCGCGCAGAAACGAGTACATGGCTTTAGCTCCTGGTGCAATTTCGAACACCCTGATACAGCCCACAATCCGTCATCAGCACTAGGTCCAAATTTCGTGGAGGACACCACCCACCCAGCTCGGCGATCATCACAAGGTATATATCCAGAGTAATCTCACTTACTTCCGGAAAAAGTTGATGCCGTTGCGCTGAGCATCCTTCTTTAAAATCTCCCAAGATTGCTTGACAAGCTGCTCGTTCTCCTTGGAGTACGTCTTGACAGGCTTGGATGGAGCCCTGACTGCTGCAGCTTCAGACTGATTTACCACTGCTGATGCCATCGCAAAGAAAGGCCTAAAAGTCACAATCGAAATCTATCACAACAGCCCAAACTCTAAACCTCAATGTCGTCACGCACAGCACAATCACACTCACAATCACGAGTTTGGAAATCCAATGTGACCTTTCTCCAGTGTAAAACAACACATCCGCAATCGCAAACTGAACATGATTCTACGTGGCCATCTCACAGAACTTATACCATGGAAAGAAAGAAAGAAAGAGCACCTCGGTCAGTTTCGCAGGATCCATCCACTGAGTCCATCAGAACATTGACCGAACCGCAACCTATGGTCGTCCATGTTCACCGAATATAACAATAAAAGGAACAATGATTTTAATTATCCAAACGGGGCCCACCTCGATCTGGTTGCAATGCAGGAACTCACTACAGCAGAATTAGACACTGTCAATTGACAGATGAAGTTCAGCAGCAAAGTGAGGATGAAGAGCGAGTGCTGACTGGAGACCGGGATGCGGCTCTTCCGAACCTCAAAAGCCAACACCACGCATGCATGCGTTGGGCACTGTTCGGTGCGAATCTGCGCCAGCCAGTGCACCTTCGAGCTGAAAGGGGGAGGGGGGGGATTCGCGACAGGGCCTTAACGATACCCTGCTGCGACGATCGATCCAAAAACCTGCTCGCCACTGTCTAATTGTCGTTCTGCTGCCAAAAACCAATACACGGACGGCGATAGGGCGATAACGGTACTAGGATTCACACAGTGTTGGAAACGTCACGGGTTTTGGGAATCCCCCTTTGCAGAGTCATCGATGAGAATACTTTACTGTACGGATATTTTAGGATCCCCCTGTGGATATAATGGTATTCTCTAAGGCTCTTTTCAATCAAGAGGGTGGGAGTTCAACCAAGCAACTTGGAAACAAGTTATTAGGGCTTCCTTCCATGTGCAATGGGTGGGCAATCTTATTCTTGGACTTAGTTTGCACCTGCTGATTCCCACGTGGCAAACTCCATCCACTTTCAAGATTTGCACTTCCATGTGCAGGGTAGTAGAACACTCTATGACCTCTAATAAAAAATCAGAAAAAAGACACTTCTAATAAATAGGCAATGACCTTTCATTGGAGGTTATAAATGACTTCCTATTGCATGTCAAATATCCATTGATACATAAGTGGATTGCTCCACCCACCTTTTCCGCTCCCCAAAAATACTAATTTTACTATGGAATTAGATAATTCTAAATGATTGAGCTATATAAAATTAAAAAAATATCCAAATATGTGTAAACGATACATAAATGTTCAAATTCATATAAATAAGAATTAAATTTTTTTGGTTCACTATCTAAAGAAATGTAAAAGCTTAAATGTATTTTAATATAATATATTATATTAAAATATTATATTAAAATACATTTAAGCTTTACATATATATATATATATATATATATATGCATAAATACATGTGTGTGCATGTATTTTTTATTTCTTATTATATCTCATGCTAAAGATAATTAGATTTAATTATTCAAATAAAAATAATTTATTAGATATAATAATCTAACATTTAATATTTAATTTAATAATAACATATCATCTAAATTATCTAAATATTATCTTTAAAAAAATTAATTAAAATATATATAATATATAAAATTTTAAATATCTAAAATTTCTAATTACAATTAAATTATAATATCATGATAAAATAACAACCCTAATGTTAAAAAGCATTAAAATTTCTAGAAGCTCTAATTTATTAAATATCTTGAATGACTTAAAAAATCAATAATATTAAAATTATTAAATCTTTAAAACATGTAATTTTAAAATAAAAATTAAATTCAAAAAATATAAAAAATAATCAAGCTTCAATATATAGTATTCTTATCTACCAAACCATTATAATTGTGCTATAATTTATATAATTTCTAAAAAAATAATATCCTATTTTAATAGAATAGTATAATATTTTAATAATTTTAGTATAATTTTTTATTTTTTATTCATGAAAATTTTAAATACTAAATGACTAAAAAATTTCAATCAAAATAATTATTAAACCACAACGTATCATTTTATTTTCCAAATAATTTGTATCTTCTGCCAACTTCTTAAATTTTAGTACATCTGAACTTTTAAAAATTTAATTATGTATTTATTTATTTATGTTGTTTCTATCATCAATAATTATATTATGTAAAATCACAAACTTGTAAATAATACTTCAAATTATACTTATCAACGACTATTAATATGTATGAGCAATGATAGAAAATTCTGTCTAAAATAATCAAAATGCATATTCTTTTTTTTTTTTTTTTCTTTTTTGTAAATCTTCATGTATTTAAGAGAATTTTGTTATTAATCACATCTAATGGCATGTGCATAGATTACAAATAATAATTTTATTAAAAATTAATGCCATTTGCAAACATATAGTGTTCATTGTAAGAATTTCTATTGATAATAAATAAAAATAACTTACTCTTTCTCAACTAACTTGTTTTGTATTAATTAAAATATAGCCAATAAAAAATTTAGGATAGTAAATTGTTCTTTAATTTGCTTCAGTACTTATGTTTCATTTCATCAAAACATCAAAATTGGTTATATATATATATATATATATATATATATATAATAATAATAATAATAATAATAATAATAATAATAAAACTTTTAATAAACTGATTAAATGATTCCAAAGCAATTTTCTCCTAACATAATAAATTAGATAAATATCTATAAAAAATTCTTGAATCTATAATTCTTGGATATAAATATAAAAGAATTATAGATCCAAGAATTTTATAATAGATTAAAAAAGAAATAAACTTTGGATTTTTTCTACTTAAAAAAGATAAGGTTAATATAATAATTGCAAAATTATTCTTCATAAATATGTATATGTATATGTATATATATATATATCATTTTTATTTGACCAAAAAAGAAAAAAGAATTTATTATCTTCTATATATATATATATATATATATATATTAAAAAATTAGTAATAAATTTCATTAGATAAAATAAGTAATATTTTATCTTGAGAACTACCATATCATATTGTTTTGGTCCAAGTTATTTCAAGCCATTTTTTGAAATTGCAATATATTATTCAATGTTAATTATAATTATATTCTATATTAAATATTACTACTATTGTTAATTACAATTGTATTCTATATTAAATATTACTACTAATGAGTTCAATTCTTAATAACACCTAAAAGAAACAAAATTTTTATAAATAATATTCAAAAAATTATCAAGAAAATACCCTCTAAAGATACACATACTCTTATGTGCTTGTTTTCAAGGAAATTTATTGTATTGTAAGCCATGTCTCTAATAATCCACTCTAATGAAGGAATGGATTAACATATAAATAGAAAACCCACTTCTAAAGCCATAAGGTCTAGTATGGATTCCTGCATATATGAATTAAGAGGTAGCTACCGGAAGAAGAGATTGAGTGAAAAAACTAACACAATTTTGTTTGTTTCAGGTGGTAACAGACGTAAGCCAAGAACCATATCAAAGTGTAAAGGTACACAAGCCTAGACCTTAAAACCACTTGCGTTCTAACATTGTGAGAACTTTGAAACACTCTGCTCTTACATCTATATGGACAGCATGGAGAGCTTTCACCAGTTTGCAAGTTGGCTCACAAAGTCATTGCGAGACTGTCCGTGTTTAGCTTGCCTCCAGCAGAATCATGTCAAACATGGTGTACTCACCCTGAATATGACCTTTTTCTCTCATTTTAATATCGCCTCAACAGCAAGTTGAGAACAGATACTCGTCAAGAATACCCATATTCAGGGTGAATAATAGAGTCGAAATGATGGCGGTGAGCAGGGAAGAAACTTAGACAAGACAAACTCCTCTTACTCTGCCTCGGATCCCTTTGTTTTTGCAACTGTCTTGGCTGACTCGTTTGCAGCAGCCGCCTCTCGCTCTGCGTTCTTTTTCTTCTCCCAGACGTACGAAGAATCAGATCATCCGATGATGCCATGTTTTACATTTGCAATATTCAGTTCAAACCGCGCAAAGTTTGACTATGCATCTTGGGAACCACTTGATCTTCCAGCATCGCAATCAATACATGCACTCTCCGTCTAATTCTTGTAAAGCCTCGTTGATTCATTTTCCCCAAGCAATTCACAGCAGAAAAACACAGCATTAGATTACCCATCTATCAAATTACTCCTTGATCAGCTCGTTGCCTTGAGCCAACCAAGACAGCACATTTCTGGATACATCCACATCCTGATCCACGCTCCTCTTGCTGATGTTCAGAGCCTTGGAGAGTTGTGGCCGTACATTTCACCTCATCATCAGCATTTCGTTTAAGTCCGCAGTTTACGATTTTGAGTAACCCCCTTTGACAAAGTCCAGCTTCCGGAGAATGTGGCACCGGATCTCACATCGACGTTAACGCAGACAAGCCCCTTCGAAGTATAATGAAGGATTCTCAACATCATGTAAACATTCCTTAATGTTTAATTTATCAAGGGCATGAATGCTACTATTCAGAGTAAGAGTGGATTCTCCTAATAATCAATTCGAGGATTAGCCTGGATCGCCTGTATGTTATGCATCATGATTGTACGAGTAAGGACTCAAGACGTAAAAGGGGTTTACTGTAGAACCATGCTTCACCACAAATACTGTGCCAAAAGAGATTCAATTTATAAAAATACAAATGAGTAATACACCGCTTTTAAAAATAAAAATAAAAATAAAAAACAGCTGGAATTCCAGAGAATCGACTGAAATGGCCTTGATACCAACCTCTACCTCACCATCCTTGCTCTCAAGTTGTGCAATTTCACTTCCACTTTGAGCAGTTACCCACCCCACTGGGTTCTTAGCGCCTTTTCTGCACCCCTCAAATATGGAAACCCCAGTCAGAAAGTGACACACCTCAAGAACTTCCACTGCACAGACCGTACCGAGAGCAAATTTTAGTCGAAACAGCCCTCGTCTATGCGAAATTTGATAAGAAGTTGAAACTCTTGGAACGAGACTTGAAAGACATCCAAAGAGGCCTTTATTGTTCGGGATCTTCAGTTAATGCATGCCTCAAAAATTGCATCACAATCTTCATCTTTTGAGTGACCGACCATAAGTTGATCATACAGTCATAAATCCCAGAGAAAGTACAGGTACAGGTCGCATTGTATCACATCAAGTGCTGCTGCACCAA